TGGATTCGAACCTGCCACCTTAGGTGTATGTGGCTGGTGCCTTAGCCGCTTGAGCCACAGGTGCCGAGCTAATAAGTGAATTTTGTGTTTCAGTGGTAGTTACTTGGAACTGGTAAAGAAATGACCCTGTCCAGAAGGCTGAAGAGTTACCCAGCAGCCATGCCTCTGACTGCTGTCCTTGGCTGTATGTAGCTGAGGTCGTGCTGCCCAAGTTGGGCAGAGTGTGTTGCTACTAAAAAGGCAGAAAAGGTGGCCTTCTGGCTTCTCATCCTAGGATCCCTGTCCTGCCCATCTATCTACAAGAAGACCTACAAGATGATACAAATGATTTCAGTAGGCCCTAGGTAAGCTGTCACCTCTGATTTCCATACAGTTTTCTATTCTCTCAGCTGGAGTTTCATTCCCAGATTGAATATCTTCATCAGTGACTCCAGAAACAGCATGCTGCTGTAGCTGGCTGTGCTGATGTAGTATGCTATATGCTGAGAACAACTGGGCCCTTCTCAATTTAGCTATATTCTCTGCTGCTTTCAGCTGGCTATCTTTCCTCACCCCTGTAAGCACTGTGAAGTAATGCTTTACATCTTTTAATCTCCTCTCTGTTTTTCCTGGAAGGTATGCTTTGGTGCTTAAAGAGGGAGTGCACATTGCTGACAATTAAGAGCTTAAATAAATAATAAACAGAGAAGGCATAGAAGCATACCATTAACGGTTCCTGGAGATGAAATCCCCTATGCCCAGCTGTTTGAGTGAGCGCAAGGATCCCTGATGCCACTGATCTGTATATTCTTATCACACAGGCTTGCTGAGAGCCTTCTGTGCCTCAGGGGATTAGGTACATTGACGTGTAGGGACAGGTGGAAACAAAGAGAACTGATTCAGGCTGTCTGGGAGCAGCTGCCCCAGGAGGCCACCATGGATGGATGTTGGGCAGGAGCCCCAGAGGCATCAGGAAGCTTATGACCAGAGGGGCAGTCAGTTGTAGGAAGAGCCGATCATGAGGGAGAGGATGTAGAGGGAGAAGATGGAGACGAAGTTTGAATCTAGGGGACATTAGTCAGAGTGGTTTTTAAAGTTTGCTGTTAATAATTTTGTTTTTCTTTTTTTTGAGACAGAGTCTCACTTTGTTGCTCTTAGGAGAGGCTATGATGTCATAGCTAATGGCGACCTCAAACTCTGGGGCTAAAGCGATCCCCTTGCCTCAGCCTCCCAAGCAACTGGGACTACAGGCATCCAGCTATTTTTAGAGAGGGGATCTCACTCTTGCTCAGGCTGGTCTCAAACTCCTGAGTTCGAGTGATCCACTGGCCTTAGCCTCCCAGAGGGTTAGGATTATAGGTGTGAGTCACTGCACCTGGCCCTAATGATTCTAAATGGAGACAATGAATAAATATTTCCCAGTTCTGTATATTGGTTGTCAACAAGAATATTTTCCTACCAGGAATGGTCAAAATACACTTGTTTTAGAATACTAGGGACAGCAGAATGGTGGGGTAGTTACCTCCCTTGCTTATGGTCAAGAATGTAGGTTTTTATTAATTTGACCAATTTAGCTATATGTAACATGTTGCTACCCAGATCCCTCTGTTTTGATTTGCCTTAAAAGGCAAAGGAGTGGCTCGGCTCCTGTGGCTCAAGTGGCTAAGGTGCCAGCCACATACACCTAAGGTGGTGGGTTTGAATCCCCAGCCCGAACCCGCCAAACAACAATGATGGCTGTAACCAAAAAATAGCCAGGCGTTGTGGCGGGCGCCTGCGGTCCCAGCTACGTGGGAGGCTGAGGCAAGAGACTCGTTTGAGCCCAGGTGCTGGGGGTTGCTGTGAGCTGTGATGCCACGGTACTCTACCCAGGGGATAGCTTGAGGCTCTGTCTCAAAAAAAAAAGGGGGGGGGGCAAAAGAGTTAGGAGAAGGAGAAAGGGGGAAAGTATATTAATTCCAAGAGTTAAACAGAGCAAAAATCTCTATTACTCTTGTATGTAAAACATCTCTATCCCACATCCCTTCCCTTCTGCAGTTAGCCACCAGGGCATATGTTACCTGCTCCCAGACCCATTAAAGTCTTTCCTTGTCTTTCAAAGTGTTTTCAGTGCTGTGCCCTGGACATGCTCTCTCACTCTAGAACCCCAGAGAACTTTGCTTTCCTCCCGTATATGAAAGTTAACTTTTTCTAACAGGTTAAGAAGGGCCTTTGTTATCAGATGTGGGTACTTCTTGAGGGAGTGTCTTTGTCCTGTCTCTGATGACTCCCAGCTTTAGCCCAGAGCCTCATGGTTGCTGGGTGCTCATAACTGTTTTGCTGAATAGAGGTATTGCCAGTCTCCTGGGGAAGAAAGGACCTGCTGATAGACATGCTGGGGAGCTCACTTCTTCAGGGGCCTGTAGGCCAGTGACACACTGGAATGCCCGCCAGTGACTTCATAAAGCAAGGATTCCCTTCACGGCGCTTCTCTGCTGCCTCTTGGAATCCAGATGTCAAGGAAGTCCTTAGGCAGAGGTTTTCTGTTGGATGATAAAAGGAAGGAATAAACATTGAAAATTTGGAAAATGTCTCAATCCTTTAACCGGAGCTACTCGAAACCCTCTTCTAGTTCACAGTCTGATACTACACCGATGAATTTCTGGACAAGATTCAGGAAATTTAAGTAAATATTGTTTGTCTCCATTCCTTGTTAAGAAATGTACAATGGGAAGTATGGGGGCAGGGTGTCAGTGTTCTCAGCCTATTCCCTCAGATACTCTAAATCTTGCTTCCCAAATTGAGGTGCTTGTCCTTGACAAATGTTGTTCCTTCTTTTGGTGAGGTTGACATACTGTTGCTTGACCAGACTAGTTTGACTCAGTTTTGCCCTGCCCTGCCCTGACCTGCCCCACCCTGCCTTTCTCTCCCCTTCCTCTTTCATTTTTTTTTTTTTATATAGTTGTTCTGTCAACTAGGCTGTAGTGCACTGACCCTCATCCTAGCTCATTGTAACTTCAAACACTTGGGCTCAAGTGATCCTCCCCCCTTGCTGGGACTATAGGTGTGCACCACCATGCCCAGCTAATTTTTTAATTTTTATAGAGATGGGGGTCTCATTGTGGTCCCCAGACTGGTCTCAAATTCTTGGCCTCAAGCCGTCCTCCTGCTTCAGCCTTCCAAAGTGCTGGGGTTCCAGGTATAAGCCACGGTGCCCAGCTAGTTTTGTCCTTTTCTATCTATTACCTACTGTGTTAGATAACTGGAAGACTTTTGGGGGGGAGGGGAATGGGTAATAGTCCCCATCTCAAATCAGATGATGAAAATTGCACATTGTTTTTATAGATTAGGAAAATATGTGTTTGTTACATATAATGGGGGAGTACTATATACTCTTTGAGAAAAATTGTAAAGTATAGGTAAATATAAATAGGAAAACGAATCACTTATAATCTCATCATCCATAGGTAGACATTTTCAACATTTTGGCATATTTCCTGCTGAATTTCTTGACCTATTTTTGTACAGGTGCCATAGTTTTGAACAGAGACTTTTATATCTTATTTTTGTGTTTTGTTATCCAGTGGGTCATAAGCATTTTTCTAAATCATGAAAAATGCATAGACATATTTTAATGTCTGTATTTCATGAGATGGATATGCTGCAATTTATTTAACCCGTCCCTTTCATTAGAGTTTTTTTTTGGATACAGAGTCTCAGTTACCCTGGGTAGATTCCTGTGGTGTCATAAGTCACAGCAACTTCAAATTCCTGGATTTGAGCAATCCTCTAGCCTCCACTTCCCAAGTAGCTGGGACTACAGGTACCTGCCACCACACTCAGCTGGTTTTTCTGGGGGTTTTTTGCAGTTTTTGGCAGGGCTGGGTTTGAATCCGCCCCCTCCAGCATATGGGGCTGGCACCCTATTCCTTTGAGCCACAGGCGCCACCCTGGTTTTTCTGTTTTTAATAGAGATAGGGTCTTGCTCTTGCTCCGTCTGCTCTTGAGCTCCTGAGCTCAAGTAATTTACCCACCTCAGCCTCCCAGAGTGCTAGGATTACAGGCATGAGACACTGCAGACAACCCCTTTTCATTAGACTTTTAAATTGTCTTCAAATTCTTAATACTATAATACTGGGAAACATGTTTAGGTAGAGTCACTGTATTTCAGGTTTTGTTCTCTTGGAATAGATTGCTTGGGTCAGTGGATCTGAATGGTTCTAAGGCTTTTCAGAAAAGTTGATCAACTTACACTCCTCCAGCAGTTTATTAGAATGCCCCATCATTTTAGACTGTTGACAGCATTAAATATTATCATGTTCATGTCTTTGCTAATTTTATAAACAAAAATAATGGTTTTACATTGCATCCCCCTGATTAGTATTGCTGCTGAATATTTTGGGGGAATTTCATTGGCCATTTGTATTTCTTTCATGAATAGATTATGCACCCCTATTCTCTTAAGGTGTTTAGGTTTTAGTCATTGATTTGTGAAGATATGTATGGGTGGTTATTTGGTTATTACCAGTTTTTCCTAGTACACTGGCGATATTTAGTTTTGCTCATATTCTGTCCCCTGTGCCTGGCATGTGGTTGTCACTAAATAAAGATTTGTTGAATGAGTAAATGAAGATAACCCTTTGTTTTGCTGGAGGAGTGGTGACCATTCTTTTTCAGAGGTCCAGAAGGAGGGAACTGGGTGACTGAGTGAGGACAGACTATTGATGAGCATCATCCATATTTCAGTGGTCATTATTCAACATTTCATTGCTACTTAAAAGTATATATAAATTTACATTCCCAGAAGGGGGAATGAAGATCCTTGCCTCTACACAAAGGTGTGCATTGTGTAGGGATCTAGCCCTGTTACAACATAATTGTACCTCTTATTCAACTTCTTGACAGGAGGAAAGATACTCAGTGCCGGGCATTTGTGAAGAAAATCGTAACAGGTCAGCTTTTTAAGGTACTTATGATTAGCACCGTCTCATATAATGCCTTTCTTATGGCCTTGTGGACCGATCATAAGATAAGAAGCCGCCTATTCAGAGTTTTTGAGGTAAGCAGAAAAAATGGGCTCATTTTCTTCTGTTTTACTTGTTTTATTTCTGGAAATGTTAAGATTTCAAAGACATTTTTTTCTTAAGTTTTTGTAGAAATTCTAAGGACCTTTATAATATACTCTAAAATCTTTGAGAATGGTGGTAGGAGTAGCAGTGGTGACATAGTTTTTAAATCTTCCTGAGTCCCTTTTTAAAAACAGAGAGAACAACTAGATAGTAAAACCAAGAACCTACGGGCAGCATTTACAGTAAGACTAGTTAAGAAGTTTTCCTCGGGTCTCATTGAACATGGTGGCAGCTCCTGGGTCTTCTGTGTGTCCTACCTAATCTGTGCCAGCTCTACGAGTAAGCAACCATGTCTAAGGGACCTGCGGTTGGTATTGCTCTTGGCACCACCTACTCTTGTGTGGGTGTCTTCCAGCATGGAAAAGTAGAGATAATTGCTAATGATCAGGGAAACCAGACCACTCCAAGTTATGTTGCCTTTACTGACACAGAACGATTGATTGGTGATACTGTGAAAAATCAAGTTGCAATGAACCCCACGAACACAGTTTTTGATGCCAAGCGTCTGATTGGACGCAGGTTTGATGATGCTGTTGTCCAGTCTGATATGAAGCATTGGCCTTTCGTGGTGGTGGATGATGCAGGCAGGCCCAAGGTCCAAGTAGAATACAAAGGAGAGACAAAAAGTTTCTATCCAGAGGAGGTGTCATCCATGGTTCTGACAAAGATGAAGGAAATTGCAGAAGCCTATCTTGGAAAGACTGTTACCAATGCTGTGGTCACAGTATCAGCTTACTTCACTGATTCTCAGCGTCAGGCTACCCAAGATGCTGGAACTATTGCTGGTCTCAACGTTCTTAGGATTATAAATGAGCCAACTGCTGCTGCTATTGCTTATGGCTTAGACAAAAAGGTTGGAGCTGAAAGAAATGTGCTAATCTTTGACCTTGGAGGTGGCACTTTTGATGTGTCAATCCTCACTATTGAGGATGGAATCTTTGAGGTCAAATCTACAGCTGGAGATACTCACTTGGGTGGCGAAGACTTTGACAACTGAATGGTCAACCATTTTATTGCTGAGTTTAAGCACAAACATAAGAAGGACATCAGTGAGAATAAAAGAGCCGTCCATCGCCTCTATACTGCTTGCGAACGTGCTAAGTGTACTCTATCTTCCAGCACCCAGGCCAGTATTGAGATTGATTCCCTTTATGAAGGAATCGACTTCTATACCTCCATTACCCGTGCCCGAGTTGAAGAATTGAATGCTGATCTGTTCTGTGGCACCCTGGACCCTATAGAGAAAGCCCTTCGAGATGCCAAACTAGACAAGTCACAGATTCATGACATTGTCCTGGTTGGTGGTTCTACCCGTATCCCCAAGATTCAAAAGCTTCTCCAAGACTTCTTCAATGGAAAAGTACTGAATAAGAGCATCAACCCCGATGAGGCTGTTGCTTATGGTGCAGCTGTCCAGCAGCCATCTTATCTGGTGACAAATCCGAGAATGTTCAGGATTTGCTACTATTGGATGTCACTCCTCTTTCTCTGGGTATTGAGACTGCTGGGGGAGTTATGACTGTGCTCATTAAGCATAATACTATTATTCCAACCAAGCAGACACAGACCTTCACTACCTACTCTGACAACCAGCCAGGTGTGCTCATCCAGGTTTATGAAGGTGAGCGTGCCATGACCAAGGATAACAACTTGCTTGGCAAGTTTGAACTTACAGGCATACCTCCTGGTCCCCGTGGTGTTCCTCAGATTGAAGTCACTTTTGATATTGATGCCAATGGCATTCTCAATGTCTCTGCTGCAGATAAGAGTACAGGAAAAGAAAATAAGATTGCCATCACTAACGACAAGGGACGTTTGAGCAAGAAAGACATTGAACGTATGGTCCAGGAAGCTGAGAAGTACAAGGCTGAAGATGAGAAGCAGAGGGACAAGGTTTCATCAAAGAACTCACTTGAGTCCTATGCATTCAACATGAAAGCAGCTGTTGAAGATGAGAAACTTCAAGGCAAGATCAATGATGAGGACAAACAGAAGATTCTTGACAAGTGTAATGAAATTATCAACTGTCTTGATAAGAACCAGACTGCAGAGAAGGAAGAATTTGAACATCAGCAGAAGGAGCTGGAGAAAGTCTGCAACCCCATCATTACCAAGTTGTGCCAGAGTCCCCTGAGAGTTGTGCAGGCGGAATGCCAGGGGACATGCTAGGAGGAATGCCTGGGGGCTTTCCTGGTGGCGGTGCTCCTCCTTCTGGTGGTGCTTCCTCTGGCCCCACCATTGAAGAGGTTGATTAAGCCAACCCAAGTGTAGATGTAGCATTGTTCCACACAGTAAAACATTGAAGGATCCAAATTTGTAGCAAATTATGTGGCAGATTTAAAGTTGGGCTGTTACAGTGAATTATTGGGCATTTTCAATACTTGAATATGGAACATGTGCACAGGGGAAGGAAGTAACATTGCACTTTAAAAGCACCGTATTGTAAGTGGAAAATACAATGTCTTAAATAAAGCTGTATTTAAAATTGGCAAAAAAAAAGAAGAAGTTTTCCTCACTATAAGCCACAAGAACTGCATGGTATTAGCCTTTGTGGACGAGGAAACAGAGAGATGCCATTAAATATTCATTAGAAAATGTGACGGGCTGATGTGAGAGTAGTATCTGACATCAGGAAGAGTGTCGTCTAATCTGATACTGGCTCAGAGCAAGAGGTTTTTGGTAATTGCTAAAGGGGCCAGTGCAGTCCAGACACTATGACCAGCCAGAGCTGCCCGTAAGAACAGGACTCCATACTAAGGAGAAATATTGGAAATGGAATAAAAGTTGAGCAGATTCAAGACAGAGATAAAGGAAGAAAAAGTTCAGATAAAATTAGAGTAAGGGAACAGAACCAGCAAACCTCAAAGACCAAGCTACTATATATATATATTTTGAGACACGGTTTTGATTCTGTTGCCCAGGCTAGAGTGCAGTGGCATCATTATACCTCACTGCAGTCTCAAATTCCTGGGCTCAAGTGATCCTCCTGCCTTAGCCTTCTGAATAGCTGGACTACAGATATGTACACCATGCAAATATTTCAAAATCCAAGAAGATTTGAAACCTGAAACACTTCTAGTCCCAAGCATTTCAGATAAGGGATATTCAACCTGTAGAGAATAAAAGCCCACTAAAAAGATATACCTCAAACAGATAAAAACTGTACCATATAATTTTAAAGCACATGATTTTAAAACGAGGCAAACGTTTAAGAAAATGATACAGGATAGAAAAGAACAGAAATGAAGTGACAAAACTCAGGAAAGAATTGGAAAGAAAAGAAAAATTTAAAAAATGGGA